CCCCAGCAGCTCTCCCCATGTTTCCTCAGAGCAGATTCAGCTCAGACTGTTCTTTAAAATCAAACAAAGCTTTATTTGTACACATTTAAAAAATAATAACCCTTTTTCTCCCGAGTTGGTTTCCCGTCAACTAGCCCGGCCCTTGCCTCCTACGCAGTTCCGCTTAATTTTACTTTCGCTTCACTGCTCCGRCTGGGATGGGAATCAGCATGCTCATGGTGCGTTTAAAGACGGTTCAGAAAAATACCTTATTTCTCGAATAATGATGGAAATAATAAAATCTGTAATTATAGATGCCATTCAAAGGCGATAATATAATTCAGTCTTAACAAAAGCATCAAACTGGATTATTTTAATATCCTCTTTATCATCTTTTTGTTATTGTTGACAACATGGTTATACTAGCTCTGTCATTCTCTGATTTTGATGAATGCTGCTAAATGCCTTCTGCTGGAACAATTTTATGCAGATGCAGAGAGGCTGTTCAGTAAATTTGGTAGTTTTCCTATTGGTCTGGGAGAGGTAACATTTAACTTTTACTACCAAAAACAAGAATAAACAAAGATGTGATTAATGTTGTTATTGACAGGGGCCCCCAATAAAAATAAAAATAAAARGTTTCTTTGTTTCTTTCTTTTCTTTTTTGTGGGACCCATATCAGTCAAGGGCCCTTGGAATTGTCCTAACTTTTCCCCCTATACGGCACCCCTGTATACACATACTTTGTTACTGTATCTACTTAAGTAGAARTTTTGGGTATCTGTACTTTACTTGAGTAATTATTTTTCAGTCTACTTTTTACTTCTACTTCTTACATTTTCCACACAATTATATGTACTTTCTACTCCTTACATTTTTTAAAAGGCAAGAAGTAGAAAGTCGTTACTTTTATTTAATTTTTGCTTGTTTTCATTCCAGCTTCTTATTGTAAAAAAACAAATACTCTCCATATAAATTGTGCCTCCTAGATAGAGTGAATTTAATTGTGGTTGAATGAGAAGTACAAAAA